GGATTCTTTCTTTACGACTCTCATCAACATGAGGGGATCGACAAACTGCCATCTGTCAGCATACATCCTGGAAGAGTAGCGTCGCAACATGTCCTACCTGGTTCGCATGCGGTGCGCACACGAAGATAACGGGGCCTTCCTTTGGCACCTTCCAACTACTCCTAGGATGCACTTCTCGGAAGAAGAGCTCCACCAGGATCGAGAACGTCCACAAGAAGGCATCGTACACGTATTTATTCATGACGGCGAGCTTCTTGCCCTTCGCATCTCTCTTCTGGGTCGCCATGGCGGCTACCTAAACCACGATTATGCTGCCGGCGGATGTAAAGAATATGGTATGCGCCGCCAGGAGGGCGAAGTTGGTGTAGCCTCCTATGGCTGGTGATGAGTATCCGTCCGCGGACGCGATGGCGAATGCGACAGGAAACGAGGGGTGACGAGGCACGAAATGCGCGCACGGCGGAACAGGGTCGCTGACGATGAAGCTGCGTTGGAAGCTACAGTATTATTCCTCGTTAGCATCAGAGCGCAGACTCAGACATGTTGTCACGCACCTTCACGTTCTAGCACTTTCTCTACGTAGGTCGCGTGCAGAAGAAGAACATCAGGCCACAGTAAAGGGAAGTTCCGAGTCTGCGCGGATCTGGATAGCCGATACCCGACGAGCGCTGGCTCTGGTGAGGCAATCAAGCTTTCAGCAGCGCATATCCGCAGCGCTATTTTCGTTGTTGAGCTCGGATATGTGGAGGGTTGCAGATAGGGCCGGGGAAGTGGGATGGTTGCTATGTCATCGCACATTAATTGTTGGCGGCCCTTTTCTAGTGGGGTAGCAGCCAGCTGAGCCCGCTCCACCAAATGTCACGGCTGAGGATGCGCCACACCGATGAAGGCATATGGCAGAAGTTTACCTGCATTGTTACGCTATTGGAATCATGAATTGATGACTGAGTCAAAATCAAAATTACACATGTGGATAGTCAGATGAAAGGACCATTATACATTCCAATCTATCAGAGGGTGCCGTCAAGCGGCCCGGGAATATGGTGGTCTATAAAGTAAGAAGGGTATATATGTACAGTAAAGAAGATGAAGACAAGATACAATGTGCAGATTAAGGCTTACACCATAGCAAAGGCCATCGCTGCCACCAAAACGGTGACAACAGAGGTGCTGACGGTGAGGGCAGAGCCAGCGCCGAGGAACTGCTCTGGAGATGTCGGGTTGGGCAAGCTGGTATTAGCAGCTGGCGCCGACACCAACGTGGTAGTAACAGGAGGTACAACCGGAGCTGGCGAAGAGTCTACGACGAGGCCCGTGGTTGCCGATGCTGCCGGTACGTAGACAGTCTCGGTCACGCTGGGCGTGCAGCTGCTTGTCGCGGAGGAGCGAGCGAGAGTCACAGTCCGAGTCACGCTGCGGGCGCAGCTGCTGGATGAGCCTCCGTTGGACTGACTAGCAGGCTTGCCTGAGGCCGAGGGTTGAGAGCTTGAGACTGATGTGCTTGTTACGACGACGACTGATGAAACAACCTGTGTGGAGACAGGAGCTTCATCAGCCTCCGGGAACTTGGGAACGATGTTGTGGTTGTCGTTCGAAGGCGCCTCGGTGGATGGGGCCTTGCTGGGTGCAGGGGTCTCGCTGGTGGCGCTTGAGGAGGGAGTAGCTTCGCTGGCAGCTGGGACTTGACTAGACATAGAGGTGGCTGAAGAAACGGCGTCGCTTGTCGCAGGAGCAGATGATGGGGCCGGCGTAGAGCTAGGCTTGGTGGAAGGGCTGCTCGATGGCTTCGGCGCGCTGTTGCCCTTTGCAGGCAGGGTACCCTTTTCGATCATCAAGAGTGCCTGGGTGACCTCCAAGGCCGACAGCTGCTGGCCGACGCCAGAGGTGCCGTCCCAGCTTCCAGTGTACCACTTGCTGCCGCATGTGACGCCGTCAGTACCTCCAGAGCAGGCCTTGGCGGCACCGACAGCGGAAGCCTTCAGCAACGGCACAATCTTGTCCTTGGTGAAAGGAGCGACCATGGCAGTCTTAGCAATGAAGCGGGAAAGGTATGCCTTGAACGATTGCTGATCGAGGTTGCAGTGTCGGCCAGATTCGCCCGTCTCGCAAGCCCACTCGTACATGATGTCTGTGGCGTTCTCGTAAGGGCTGAAGAACAGCACTTCAGCATGATCCAGGAAGCCGGAAGTACGATCCTTCCAGGTGCTCTCGCCGTTGGTGTAGTCGTACATGAAGGCCGATCCATGGAGATACATGGCATTGTTGTAGCTCCACTGGGTCTTGTCGGCGACTGTGGCGCAGTTGGTCTTGTCGTCTGTGCCATCGAACACCTCGTACTGGTCGCTGATAAGTCCAACCTTCTTTGTCCAGTCGTAGATTTTGACAGCCCAATCCGCGTACTTTTGCTCGCCAGTGTAGCGAGCAAGGCGCGCACCGAGAGCGAAAGCGCAGCCGTTGGAGATTGAGTTCTTGTAGTTGTAGCCGTAGCTGTTCTCAGGGTACACCTGCCACTTCAGTCCTCCACCGCAGCTTGTCTCGTCCCAGCGTCCGACAATATTCTCGAAAGCGTTGGTCACGACCTCGAGGTAGCTCGCAGGCGCATCTGCGGGATCGGGGAACTGGTATTCGACCGCGCTCATGACGGCAAGCGCCCAGAAAGCCTGGTCATCGTTGCCAGTTTCTCCTTTGCGGTAGGAGAGGATGAAGTCGTTGTCGGGGCCGTAGTTGGCGGTCAATGCCTGTTGGAGCGTCTTGACGTGTGAGTCGTCGCCGGTGAACTGGCTGTACTCGATCATGCCACCCCACGCGGCGCCACCTTCCCACCAGTAGTGGGGCTTGGGCCAGACTCCGACACCCTCGATGGATGTGCCTGTGGCGTTGCCCTGGTACATGGACATCAGTCCGTACGCATATTGTCGAGTGACGGCGAGGATTGACGCTTCTAAAGGTTAGCTTTGTAGCGCGGTTGCTGCGAATGTCCTCACCTTCATCCTCGGGGTCGAACTTGATACCGCCGGCGGTCGCTGTAAGGGCACTGAGGAGCACTGCTCCAGTAGTGGTAAAGTACTTCATATTGGTTGAGAAACGAATGAGTAGAGTTCAAAAGAAGGTAACGACAAGAAGTCGGGAAGAGAAAAAGGGAAGAAAAGAACGACTGTATAGCGCCGAGGCTGGAGAATGTGAAGGAGAGCAAAGCACGCATGGTGAATGCCGGGAGTAGGGCTTATCTAAGATCGAACTCGCGTGGACCCATATTTCTTTCGGTGAAGGCAGCCGGGGAAGGAGCGCGCGGGTGCAGCAGGGATTGGGTAAGCGGGCGTTTCGAAACGCAGGAACAGATTTGGTGTCGGCCAATGGCTAACTAGCACGCATGTTTCAGGTCCGGCGGCTGCGCTGCTTTTGGGCCTCCATTTTGGCGCCACTGTACGGTCGTCCGGGCGGCTTGTCCTTCATTATTTGGCCTCCTCAAATCCCTTGTGTCCACTGGCCGTGCCGACATGCTGTTACTTTGCTATTGTTTGGCTGCTAAGAAAAGATCGTCGCGTGTCGCAGTGCTCTCACGACCAACACCAGGACCGACTGCACGACCATCTCTTACGCTACGGATGATCAGCTAGAGGTACACTACCCGCACGAATGAGGGGCGAGAGGGGCCGTCTTAGTGCTAAGAGCGCGGGGATCATCACAACCATAAGCAACAGGAAAGAGTGTTGAATAATGAAAGTCAGCTTACGGACCCATGGCTCGTTCATGAGGCGGAGTTTAATCAAATCCCCCAACTCATGCCTCGGCCCGTTTGCGATCATGCGCTGAGGCGTCTCGTCCCAGGTCTACCCAGAACGCCCCCATATATGAATAGTACGCGAAAGTAACACAGCCACTCAGTTGACCCCCACAAGCCTCTTCTCCTTCTTCTCCTTCTCTGATTCGCGCAAAGCGGCGATCTCCTCTCTGGTCATGTTGTACGATGCGTTGACTTGGTTGAACGGGTTTTCGGGGTGCTTCTCGAACTCCTTGCGGATTTGGTCGATCTTCTGCTGTCGTCGCAGACCCTTCTCGTCCTTCATCTCGTCCAGTCTTCGTTCCTCAAACGCAGCGTATGCGGCCTTGAAGCGCCTCTCGGGATGGCGGTCCACCTTGTCCTGGCTGTTGCCTGTGATATCCAGAGCGTCGAGGGCGTTGTCGATACCGGTGGCGTTGAGCGCGCCAGGCTTCGCGTCGAAGGAGCCGAGCGCTGAGTCGATGCCGCCCCCGCGGGGTTTCTTCTCGGCTTTGGGGTTCTTGCCCTTGGGCTTGGAGGGCAGGGAAGCCTCCTCTTCACGGAGCAGGGCTTCCTTCTCAGCCTTCTTACGGGCTGCTTCAGCGGCCTTTTCTGCTGCGGCCTCGCTATGATATGTTAGCTGCTGTGTAAGTAGGGGCGGAGATGCACGTACGCCTTTGCATTTGACTTTGCGCCCTTGTTCCATTCCTCTGCCTCTGCCTTCTCAGCTTGTTGGTTCTTTGCAGCCTGCTTCGATGCAGCGGCGTCTGCCTTGCGGGCTTGTCCTTGTGCCTTCTTCGAGCCCCCTCCATCGCCGCCGGCCGCGCCCTTTTTCGCCATTGTGTTGTGAGGTATGCGAGATCGTATTTGTTTCCAAAGTGGATGGACGTGGTGCGCGAGTATTTCGACGTGTGGTGTGTAGTTGCGAGTGAGTCAAAGTTTGGTATGCGGCGCCTGACAGCGGCTTGCGGGCATCAGCGGGGCACAATGGCGTCAGACAACACCGACACGCGTGAATGACTAAGCAAGACTGAAGGCTCTTTCCACGCGTACTCGCAAACGTCTTCGCTCTTGTTGAACAGATGAGATGCTATTCAGTTCGGCTTACAATCACCTTTCTATATACATCAGGAACAAGTAATACCTCAATAAAGGGAACTTGGCTGTTTCAGAGCCTGCGTTTCTGTTCATGGAATATCTACCTTGCCAGGCCTCATGGTCGGATGCAAAGAACAGACTGTTATACAATCCCCTCTTCTTTCTCTCTCCTTAGGTGCTCTCTCCTCGCTCGCATCGCGTTACCGGGAGTGAGCTGCTTCAAGCCAAGCCATGGCGAGTTGATAGGACTGGGTCCCGTGTAGATGAAGATGTCGTAGAGGAATCCTCCAAACGCGCAGCCAAGGAATGGTGCCACCATCGGGATCTAGACATGGTCAGCAAGAGCTATCAGCGCCATCAGAAGACATACCCAGAAGTAGTAGCCGCCAGCGGACCACACCTCATGACCATACCCGACCGCATAAGACATCAGTCTTGGGCTAAAGTCACGAGCGATATTGATCGCATAACCAGTCTGCCAGCCGAAGCAAGATCCCAGCCCGAAGATGAGGAAGAATAGGCACAGTGGGAACCATTTGTCGGACTAGAGGAAGGTCAGCACATTCCTGCTGATCATTCTAGCGGCCGTACCTTCGGAACACCATTATTGCTCGGGTCTTTCAACGCGAAGATGACGAACATCAACAGTGTACTTGCGATGAACTCCGAGAAGAACTGGTTGGCCTTGGTAAGGAATGGCTGCGGATAGGTGCAGAAGATGTTTGCTGTAGCCTTCTCAGCCGGGGGCACTGTTCGCATCTTCCCGCCCTCGAACCAGTCGATGGAGCTGATGTAGTTCGCGTATACGATCCCGGACCCGACGAAACCACCAAGCATCTGTGCAGCGAAGTACATCGGGAACCGCCGCCACGGCAACTGACGGAAGATGCAGTTGCTTAGAGTAATCGCCGGATTGAGATATGCGCCCGAGTCGCCTGCGACGTACAGCCCGAGCATGACACCTAGGCCCCAACTTGATGGTGTTAGCGCACGTTACCGTCTTCAACACATCAGCAATCGACTCACCCCCAGTTGATCGACTGATACTGCCCGAACCCGTTACCACCTGGAGCAGTCGTCTGTCCAGTCGAAAGTAACACCTGCGCAACCGCTCCGTCACCGAACATCACCATTATAGCGGTGCCCCAGAACTCCGCGAACGGCTCCCTCATCACCGTCCTTATACGCGACCAAAGCAACTCCGACGCCGCACCGTGGTCATGCTCTTCGTCGATGGGTGCTTGAGGGTGCAAGCCGAGGACCGATCGCTTCCGTTGTGCGCTCGACGACGTTCGATGGGCCGAGAGTTCAGAGTTGGTAGAATGCGCCGAATGCTGTGTCTGCGCTTGGGTCAAAGGCGTGGCGCTCGTACCAGACGTAACACTGTGTAGACGATCATCAGAGCGGTCGTCTGCCCAATCCCGTGTAATCGACGGCCCTGGGGCCATGGGCCCTTGAGTAGTCATGCTGAACGCACGTCAAAGCAACACTAAACGAAGAATGAGGGACAGTCTAACCCAAAGCCTGTGGAGCCTCAACACCAGTGCCAGAGCGAGGAAAGTACTAGCAAATGCACAACAAACAGCCTACTCAGCGGACCACGACTGCTTAAGCATGTCTCTTTGCCATGCCCTCGGCTCTGTGTACCCCGTATGCTAGAAGACGTCACAGCATAATCCCTCATCGCGATGCCGACGCCATTGGAAGCCGATCTCGTACTTCCCCTCATTCTGCTAGTCAGATCTCCCGGATTAGGGGGAGGGTGCCCGCGCCATGAGCTTGGGACGTGACTGTTGCGCGCTAGGCATGACGTCTGTCAAGGCTGGAGGCGTTATTTCCGTGGGAGGGGCTGGGGGATGGGGATCTTCATGGAATGGTGGGATAGTGTGGTTAATTTGTAATCGAATGAGTGTGATTTTGGATATGTAGCAATGCTGTAGGTGAAATCGGATTGAACTGATGCCCCGTTATTCCCGATGAAAGAAGTGGGCTCTGAATCTGGGGTGCAGATGCGTCCACGGGTCCGGCGATCGCGATGTCCTTTAGCGCGAAGTTTGTCAACCACCATCTAGTCAATGCTCGCCCATTGACCGCCTATGCCGTTCTCCTATTCTGATGTTTCCCATACGTTCTTTTTAACAAGTTACTCACATGAAGTACACCTTCTGTTTTGTTGATCAATATACTCACAAGGCTTGAGCAATGCAGATAAGCAAGCATGATGTCATCATGCTGCGCATGAGGTGGCAGCTGCCTTGTCATATACTCCGCACTCACCTACGTTCTACTCATCGAAACCTCAAGCTTTCATCTGATCTTTACTCGAGTTATTCCTCTAATGGTCATCTAAAGGCTGATACTCTTCCAACTCAGCATCGTCCGTATGTCCAAGGGGTCCTAGCCCCGCATTGGTCTACAGTGGCTGGTGGCCTTATTATCTGCACGAAGAGTCTCATACGCGTGGTCGCCCTCCAGATCGCACAAATTTGTCACGCCATCGAGATATGGTGCAGTGTGCACTTTGCAAATCAGTCGCAGACGCGATAGAGAAGAAGACACCCCATCCCAGAGAGTACGTGTAGGAAAATCGCGATGTCCAGGAGAACGCTGGATGTGTTACATGCCAAAAAATAGCGCTTAGGTTCGGAATTCATACATAAGCCAACTATGTAGGAGAATGGGTCGGCTTTGTCTACTACCGCAAATCCGATGGTGATTGGACGTTACGAATTATGGGCGAGAAAATCGAGGGTGAGGAGATACTTTCCGGTTGGTTACTCGTGGAAATTCAACCAATTCCAAATGCGTCCCGATTTTCCCTGTTCCACCAAGAAATCAACATCGGGGGCATTAAGACATGGATCAGTAGTTGCGAAAAGGACCACGGTGGCGTATATCATACAATCACGAGCCCAGGGACTAAGATGCCGGATACCACAGACTTGAGATTCATCGACGTTGAGAAACTTTGCCTCGTCAATCAATCACAGCATGGCGGCGACTGTCGATATGGTAGTACTGTACTGTATTGGTATCTGCCAGGCTGCCCTTTCACAGCGCGAAGTCCAGCGTCATCAGTATGCGAGACAACGACAAGGACTCACCCCGCCGCAACTATCTACTCCATGCGCTCTCCAGGAGCCAACATCTCCTCCTCGGAGTCAGACTCGGCCTTGTCGGGAAGCCTTGTCTTCCTCAACTTCTTCTCCACCCTCTCCATCGCCTCACCCCCAACCGGCATGTCGGTGTCTACGGCCTGCTCGGTGGCCTTCGTGTTCTTCCGCTCGGACTGGCGGCGGTCGTTGAAGCCGGCCTTCCGCTTCCTTGCCGGAAGGGCGCCTTCCTTGTACTCCTGGACATGATTAGCATAGTTCCCAATTCGTCAAAATGGCTTCAAAGAAAACTTACATCTTCATTGAGAGGATGCAGCAGATCCCGAATCACCCTCACCACATCCACCGCAATCACCACACCAAGATTCTTCTTCGTCCTCTTGTCGATGTTCCTCAATTCTACCGCCGAATTGATCTGGCCGCCCATGTAGTCGCCCTGGCCCTGCGTAAACTCCGACAGAACCGCCAGAGTCGCCAACAGGCGCAAGTCCCAACTCGCCGCGTCGCCAGCGGGACGGAAGGTGCGGCCGCCGTACATAGGCGGAGGAGGAGGGAAGGAGGTCATGTCGACGCCCCAGTTGTCGTCGATGAGAGCGAGGGACGCGGAGGCGGGGTGCGTAGTCGCCAACTTGTTGTTGGGGATGCTCGCGAGGGTGTCGAGGAGGTCGCGAATGCTCTTGGGTGCCATGGTGACTTGTACACCGTCGAAGGGCTCGCCGCGAATTATATCGCGCTTCTCTTTGCGGGTGAGATCGGAGAATGTAGACATGATGTAGACAAAAAAGCTTTAAAGTGATGATAGCTTGATTGTATGTGGGTGGCTAGAGGAAGCAGAATTACGACTAGAAGAAAGTTTTATATGGACCAGGCTCCAGTGCGTAAAAGTCCTGCAGTGAAGGAAAGTAGTGAATTCCCCTTCACGCTCACATTCACTTCATATTCACGCCAAATTTCCACACTCACTGCGACTACAATTAACGTATACTCACGCACTAGGACTGAATCAGGTAGGAGCAAAAATGACGCTATCTCTGATTTTGAGTGAAGGCGAGTGAAAGGCATCAAAGTGAGCAAAAAAGAGCAAAAATAAATAATCACAACACTGCGGTAGACTATGAGGATCGAACTCACTCACCGAGATGGCTGTTATCGACGGTATTACCAAGGTCAACCCAAGGTACACATCCAGGGATTATTAGGCCATTCGGAGTCGTGTTGTGATGGAATACTGCTTAATTAATTAATATAAATACACATATCAGAAGTCATAGGCGAGTTTGTTGCGGGGAAATAAGTGAGAGCAAACGCGGTGGTGCGGAGAGTGAGCGCGTACATGCGACAATGACGCAAACGGCGCACACCAACCTTAGCGAGGAGGCTGTCGCTACATTATAGATTGACGGACAAGAGATATCGATAGAGCGGGGAATATCTCATCTCAGTCCCAGGCGGTGGAGGTGAGTAGACAACAGAGCGAGGAGGATATCAGTGCGACCCCCAGCAGTGGAGAGCTAGGACATGAAGGACACTGAGGATGACATGGCAATGAGACATATTCAATCCGCTGTGCAGAACGTGGTGAAGTATACCAGGCTTTGTCATGAACAGCTTTGGCTATGACCATCTAAGCTTGCCCAGGTGTATTTCTATTGGGGGAGGAGGTATTGTGTCTGCCAGTACACACGAATTCGATATTAACCGACGTGCAAAGACTCGATGAGCAATCGTCCCACTGTCTAACCAAAGATTACCATCATCAAACGCCTTGCTGTCCGGTTTAGGACTACTATAAGCAATCGCCCTCTTATTCTGTCTGAGATCAACGTAAGCAATCACCCACTTGTCTAGTCCAAGACTACTATAGGCAATTGATCTCTTGTCTAGACCAAGACTTCTATAAGCAACCGCCCTGTTATACTATAAGCAACCGCCCTGTTATATAGCCTAAAACTACCATACATACTCACCGTCTACCAGTTACAGTAGAGTAAGGACAACATGTTCTGCCTCTCAGGGACGTGCTCAGAAACAGACTTATGAATGATCGACATATCTGATGGTTGCGATATCTCTAATCCTAGGAATACCTTTACGTATGGGATGGTTGCGGGGATCATGAGTGGCTCGTCGGTCTCTGTCACTGCAGTACCAGTGTGAGCAATCGACGATGGGTACTTGGTAGAAAAGGCATAAGTATGGCCTTCAAACCTCCCAACAAACACCACTCACATTCTCAACAATATCAACGACAATCATCCGACTCAGGAGGACCATCAACATGCATTCCATCAAATCTATCAGCCTGGCGTTCATCGCCCTCCTCGCCACGGTACACCTCCCCTTTCCCTCATATTCTCCCAGTGCGCCAAATCAAAACTAACGTCGACCTCAGACCAAAGCTCAGGTGAGCCTTGACGACGGCGGTACCTTCGGTGGCTGCCCCGGAGGCTGCTGCATCCCCGTCTGCAACTTCATCGTCGGCGACCAAGATTCTCTGGGCGCATTCGGAACAGTGGATTTTGCTGGCACATGCAAGCAAAACTTCGATATGAAGAACGGGGGTACTCAAGACTTGGATGACGACTACCAGGCAACTTGGGTCTACGAACAGAATGGGGCTGGTTCCGTTGCGATCGATCTATTCCGCAAGAGCGACAAGATTTACAATCGTTTCGAGGTTTCCAACTGCCAGTTGGCTAGTATTGGTGGGACGCAGTGCGCTCCTGCTGACGGAGGCTGTGTAAGTTGTGGGTCGTGAGAAGTGAGCGCTGTGCTAACGGATGCGTGTAGGACTTGAAGTTGATCCTCACTGAGGCTCAGGGTTAGAGTAGTGACAGTACTTACGGCGGTATGTGGAAGATGTTGCTATTGAGATGGTGACAGGGTCGATGTTCATCGACTACTCGCCAAAAGCTTCTACTTCTTGGGTACAATCTTTTGGCACTACACTCGTTTTATGAACTACTATCAATGAATTGTCACTTCCCTGGCACATACCTTTGAGATGCGTTCATGTCTGCTTGTGTTCACTCGCCACACGCCTACCGCTATGCATATAACATATGCCGAAGTAGCTGGCGAAGCATTTTATTAGTAGCGCTGATGTGCAGTTTCACATCAGACCAGGATCCCACCACCACACCACCACCACATCCCCATCGCCTCTCCATCTCGAGTATGTCTTCTTCTTCGTATATGTATGAAGAGACAAACCATGAAACACGTAAATCACATCTGACACACCCGTTGAACCAGTATCTCGGCTTTCGTGGGAAGAAAAAAGCATATACGCGGGAAAAGCAAAAGTCATACAGTAGCTACCGCACACCCGGGTAACAGTTTGCAGCGGCTCA